AGGACTGAACTTCTGCTTTAAATCAAGCTAAATATAAAAATGTGTAATCAAAAGTGTTTTACCAATAATCAACAAGTAATCAACTAATGATATGTAATGATTTATAAGAATTGTATAACGGATTGTATGATTGTGTGATTTGTTTGTTATTGAAAAGTGTTGACAGCAGATCGAGACCAAAGAACAAACTAGAAATGATGGTTAATATATAACCCTTGTGTAGTGAACATAAGAACAAAAGGTTGTGTAAGTTCATCTCGACTCATCTCGTGGTGACGCACTTCTGAGCAAAAACAGGAAACATAAGTGAAAAACAAGTTCTGGAAAGTAGTTATAAATTCTGGAACAAGTTCTGGAAAGTAGTTATAAATTCTGGAACAAGTTCTGGAAAGTATATATATATATATATATATATATATATATATATATATATATATATACCAAAATTAGCTAAATAATAGCTAAAATCTAAAACAAGCACTAGTTACTGTAACTGAACTACCACAGTCAGAGAAACACTAATAGAAAAATTTGCTTCAATGCACACGTTCTTCCACTCTTCATAAAGCAGTATTAAACTGGAAAACCTTTCAATCTTGGCTGTTAATTTAAACAACTGATCACATCTTTTAGAACTACACACAGCCTAGAGACAAGATCAAGCTGCACATTGGTACTATATACTAAACACTTACTACGCTCATCCAAACTCTCCATGCCATGATTGTGGCCACGGAGAAGAGATGTGTTTTAAGAAGATTTAAAAACAGTCAGGGAAGAGGCCTGTCTGATGTTCAAGGGAAGGTCGTTCCACAGTTTAGGAGCTGCCACAGCAAAAGCACGGTTTCCTCTGAGCTTACACTTTGTCTTTGGCACACTCAGGGGCAACTGATCACATGACCCGAGGGATCGAGAGGGTGTATATGGATGCAGCAACTCTGACAGATAGGGTGGGGCAAGTCCAATAAGAGCTTTAAAAGTAAATAAAATAATTTTAAAATGAATCCTGGAATGTACGGGCAGCCAGCGCAGGGAGGCCAAAACAGGAGAAATGTGTTCAAACTTTCGTGTGCCAGTTAAAAGCCGTGCAGCAGCAATCTGTACCCTTGGAAACTGACAGATACATGAATCACTGATTCCTGTATAGAGTGCATTACAGTAGTCCAGCCGAGTGGTCACAAAGGCGTGAATTACTGTTTCAAAATGCTGCTTAGAAAGTATCAGCTTCACCTTAGCCAGCTGCCTCAGATGGAAAAACTAGTTTTAACATCTGCTCTGACGTGGTTTTCTAATTTTAGTCCAGCATCTACTTTGACACCCAGGTTTGTAATAATTGGCCTGATATACTGGGCCAATGAACCAACATTGACATTGGGAGTCTCAGTGGAGCTTCCAAAGATCATCACCTCAGTCTTTTCTTCATTAAACTTTAAGAAGTGTACAGCCATCCAGGCTTTGATGTCCTCCAGACATGAAAACAGAGGGGCCAGAGAATTAGAGTCCCTTTTCTTTAGTGGGACATATATCTGCGTATCATCTGCATAACAATGAAAGGAGATCCCATATTTTCTAAAAATAGAGCCAAGAGGGAGCAGGTATAGCGTGAAGAGGAGGGGGCCTAAGACTGAGCCCTGTGGAACCCCACACAAGAGAGGAGCAGAAGAGGACAGATGGTCACCAAGGCAGACACAAAGTACGCTCCGCTAAGTAGGACCTAAACCAGTCCAGTGTTGCACCGCTGCCCCCCCCCCCCCCCCGAAAACCTTTAAAAAAGCAGATTCTGTACTGTGCTTTAAAACCAGACTGTAAAACCTCTAGAGTGTTCTGTTCTTTCAAATATGCTGATAGCTGGTCGTACACCACCTTCTCGAGAATTCTTGAAAGAAATGGCAATTTGGAAATTAGCCTGTAGTTAGCAAGAACAGGGGGGTCCAGAGAGGGTTTCTTAATGAGAGGCTGGGCAGCTGCATGTTTAAAATTTCCAGGGACCACACCAGAGGACAGACTGCTGTTCAGAAGAGCAAGGACTGAAGGACCCACAGTGAGGAAAACCTCTTTGAATAAACAAGGAGGAATAGCATCACTTGGTGAACTTGTTGGCTTTAAGTGACTGACCACCTCCTGCAGAGACGACAGAGTCACAGGTTCAAAGCTGTCAAAAACAGAACCTCAACATCTTCCATTTCTGCCACTTCCAGTTTTTTCTCCTGTCTTTTTGTCCATGTCTCTGTCTCCAGATGATAAAAGCCACTGGGACGTTATGTTTAGAAAATAAACGTAAACATAACGTCCCAGTGGCTTTTAAACCCCAAAACATATTACGGCAAAGACTGGTTCATCCCAAAGATCCAGTTCCCCGGCACAAACAGAGTAATATTGTGTAAGCTGTTCGATGTCAGGAGGGCTGTGATCAGTCTTACATCAGGGAAACTAAACAGCCACTGGCCAAAAGGATGGCCCAGCACAGATAATCATCAGGCCAGGACTCTGCAGTCTACACTTATCTCCAGGCCAGCAGTCACTCTTTCAGGGATGAAGATGTTCATGTCTTTGATAGAGAGGAACGATGGTTTGAGAGAAGAGTAAAGGAGGCCATCTTTGTGAAAAGAAACCGTCCATCATTAAACAGGGGTGGAGGCCTCCGTGTTCAACTGTCCCCCTCTTACAATGCTGTTTTTGCTAGTATCACTCAGCCCCCTGTGAATAGCAAACAGCCATCAGGGTGCTAATGATCCATCGTTAGGCTGATGGTCCTCCTTGATTATGTGAGCAGCTGGTTTTGGCTGTCAGCAGCAAACTGGTTGATCCACTGCGAGAGGGTGCTATTTATACGACTGAGCTGAATACAGCACCTCAGACAGAAGAAGTCTTTTGGATGAAAGACGAAACGTTTCTACAATTTTTTTGTTTAGTTTTTGGGAATTTTTGAATGTCTAGAGGACCAGATTTAACTTTTTTCTAATTTTTATACCTGGATTATTGAGCATGTATCAGGATATTTGTGCACGTATTTGACAATTTGTATGCATATTCCAATTTGTGCAATTTGAAATTTCACATTTGAAAAACTGTTCATTCCAGACCCGTCTGGAGTGGGCACACGGTGGCATATAGGGGGTGGGATGTGTAATCATTCTCACCTCCGGTACCTGTGCCCACTCATATGTAGAATGTAGACATTTAGGGTTCTGGGCAAGGGTTGGGGAGGTGAACGGGAACTGCCTGCTTTCTGGGG